GGGCCCTGCCCCACACTCTGGGGCTGCAGAAGCCTGAAACTTTCCCCATGCCCCAGAGCCTCCCCAGCAGGCAGACCCCTCTCCTTTCTTCGAGTGATTTCAGGCATCCACTTCCGCATCTCCAGGGCCACTCTGATTCCCAGCAGTCTCTGCCTTGTCTCCTTCCATGTAGTTTGAATAATGAGAGGCAGCAAGTTTCCGTGCCTCTGACTCAGCTTAGGCTGCTGCAGTGCTTTTCTGGAGCTCCTCAGGAACAGCTCTGACTCAGCTGGTGGAGCCAGAATGAAGACTCAGCCACAGCTTACCAGTGCTGCTGTAGTTTCAACTACAGCACCCAAGCAGTATGCACACATGGTGCTGAGTATGGTGGGAGACACTTGAAGACATATCACTGGAAGGCCTGATCGTGTGTGCAGGTGACACTAAGTGACCTCACTCTTGGCCCACAGCAGAGGCAGCTTTGCTCCTCACAAGCACAGGAGAATGGCCTTGCCCTATTGTTAAGCATTTTGGAAGCATCACAGGAACCTGGTGTCCTCAGCTTCATGAGATTTCTCCACAGTGATCCAGACCACCGATGCTCATTGACTTCCTTCCAGGATCTGAGGGCTCCATGTGCCCTGCTCTGTGGGAGAGGAATCTGAGGCCAGGGGAGTTCAGAGTTGTTGCCACAGAGTAAGCTCAAGTATGTCAGAGATTTGTCTGCCCATAGTGTGTTTGGGTGAGAGAACCCTAATGTTGAGAACTGTGATGACTAGGATGGAAGTACAGCTGCTTTTCTATGACAGAAAATTTTAAAATTCATCACATCTTAGTATGTGTCTGTAAGCTGAAGCAGAGTGAAGAGGTGCTAGAAGGGGCATGAGAAGAAGCTCCCTGAAGTATGAAGCACTATCTACAGTTCTGAGTTCACTGTGAAAAGGAGGACCTGAGATGCAGTCCCTCAATAGCCAAAACCTGTCCATAAGCCTGAGCCTGGGGGCTCTCCACCAATGTTAATGAGACCCTTTCCCCGGCAGGCCCAGGTGCCTTCTCTGGCCTTGAGTTTGCACTTACCATGAGAGGGGAAAGGAGTAAGAGGGATTTGGCGTGATATATCAGTTTGTTAAATGTCCTGCCTCAGCCAGGATTTGAGAGATTCCAAACATAGAGTTATCCTTCCAAGCAAATACAAGAGTAGGGAGAAATGTAATATAAATGGAATTCACGCAGATTGGTTTCAGGGAAGTGACAAAAATGCACAGTCACTTTTGCAGATTATCTCTGGGGTGAGTCCTCCTCCTGGTTCCCAGCAGTAGATTCTTGAAAGCTCCCTCATGTCCGTTGGTCTTGAACCCACTTCATTCTGGCATGGTGAATCCAGGGGGCTGTACCATGGAGGTTACAGCATGAGTGAGTGGTGGGTAGGGTGCTGCCCACTTTGGGTTAAACTGGTTCTGAAGAGACCCTGGTTTCCAGGCCTTTAAATAAACCCAGTTCTCTGGTTCATGGGGTGAAGTCAGATCCCTGCAGGAAAAGGAAGTTATAGGTTTGCAAACTTAGTAAGGGCTGACATCACCGGTCTTGTACTGAGTGTGTGTTTTATTGACAACTCAATTTCCATCTCAGCTTGTGTGGGGAAGTTAGTTCCTCATGGAAGGGACTTCTGCCCAGGATTTCAGACCCTGAGCACACTTTAGGGGCACCTCTGAGGCATGTATAGCAACTGGAAAAGTTTCAGTCAGTTTTCACAAGCTTCTTGACACAGTTTGGCCAGGGTAACCTGATGTGTACAGGTGGTCCTCTCCATTTCCAGAGGACTATGGGGTCCCCACTGCATGTACCCTACATTGTATTCCAGGGATGTGGGAAACTCCACCCTCTACATTTGAAATAACAGCAGGCCCATTGTCACTGTGGATAGACCAGGGTAACCCAAACCTAGGAATACTTTCCTTTAGAAGTCTTTTCATGACTTCTCCTTCTTTCTTTGTTTTGCAAGGGAAGGCAAGGATGCACCCAGGAATAGCACTCACACAGCTAGGAGACATTCAGCTGGTCCTGCTGCAGCTGGCAGGACTGGGAGTGCCATTGCCAGCCCTCCCAGCACCACATTCCTCTGGCCTGCAGGTTCCCTCTCTCATAAGGTACAGGGCGCTCATTTCAATGTTAATTTGCTGTCAGTGCACACACTGTCTTCTCAGTTCCACCACCATCTCCTTTATGTTTGGAGTCTTTCCTCTCTGAGAGGTGGTATTGAGTCTCTCTTCCATAAGGGGTTGAATAATGAGCAAATTTAGTACATTTCCTGGCTTCCTTTTCTGGCAAGCAGAGCTGTCCTTGTTTGTCAGGCACTGCACCCTGAAACAGGAGACATCCGAAAGTCTAGCCTTTTGCTGTGTCCAGACCTCCTTCAGAGTAACAGAGCCCCCACTACAGAGAGGCAGGTGGGCTGAGGGGAGCTAGAGAATTTCTTTGCAGCGAGCTGCACATTTAGTGGTGGCATTGGCCACACGGTTTGCTTTGATGATTGCTGGGTCCCCTGTGAAGTCCCCTGCACTACACCACTGCCACTTTCCTTCAGCCATTCCCTGCCTGCAGCAGCCTCCAGATTTCCTCTTGCTCCTGTCTGGCGCAGGAATAAGGTTCATCCCATGCATATGGATCCCTGAGATCTGGGGATCAGCGAAAACTGTGTGTGTGCAGGTGGTATCTAACCCTTCTCTTAACTCCCAGGCCAAGTGAGGTTGTTCTTTCACGTTTTCACCTGAAGACCTGGGGGGAGGGATTTTGCTTCAGTGATCCCACAAAGAGAGGCCACTGCATAAGCAGTCAGCATTTTTTAAAAAGAAAATGCCCATTGGCCAGTTTGGTCCAAAGACACCTTGTTCCATGTAGACAAGAAGAATGGCTGCTCTGTGTCCCAAATCTGCCCTCCGTGGTCGCTGCTGGGCAGCATCTGGAGAGTGATGCAGGTTCCCCTCAGTCTTTCTCGCCCAAAGCCAGTTCATTACTGGTGGAAATAATTTGCTCTCTATTCACACTCTGGCTTCGCAGCTTTGGCCTTTCTGTCTATGGAATAATGCACAGCGGTTGTGTATGCTCTTCTAATAGGCACGAGGAGACTTTGTTAAACTTCCCTGGAGAATGAGAGCCTGAGTCAGTTCAAATGCACAGGTGCTCTGTGTTGTAAAAGTCTGCTGTTCAAAGCATTGTTTTGCAGAGCTGTTGCCTATGCCTTGATGAGGTTTTCATTTATGTGTCCAGGGCAGGCTCCCCACAGCTGATTCAAGGAGAAAAAATACCGCAGGGACCTTTCCCAGTCTGAGCTCCTGACCTGTCCTGATTCTCTCTCCCTGCCCAGGGGACAGGTCTCAGCCCAGACACAATGCAGCTTCTCAAGTACTTTGGCTCTTCTTTCTGCAGGGTAGCTATTTTCCCCCCTCCCTGGGGCCAACCATGTGCAGCCAGATGGGGTTTCAGTGTGCTGAGTCATTGCTTGGAGGGAGACCTGGAGGCAGCAGAGGCTGCACAGGCCCTGATAGGTGGCAGAGAGGGCAAGGCTGGAGCTGTCGCATGGGCTCCTGTGCTTCAGTTAGTGTAGCTGTGGAGCAGATGTGGGGTGTTGACCGAGGACACTGTCTAGAGGGGGTAGAGGAGCAGCACCACAGGATGGAGGCATGATGGTCTGTGCTGCCTCTTCCTCCCCTCTGCCTTCACCTCTTCTCCCCACACCTCTGCAGCCATGTCCTAGCTGATGCCCTCACTGCTCGCAGGGCTTCCCTGTGACCAAGTCCACGTGAGCAATCAGCTAGGGTCCCCATCTCAGCCCCACACCAGTGAGAGGGATGTGTGAGCCTGAGCAGCAGCCCTGACCCTTGAACCAACCTGCAATAGCCAGGAAAGAGCTGTGCTACTGTTTAGATCCAAAATATCCCCACCAAAATAAGCTCCTGTGTCCCAAGAATGGCCTTGGGGCTGGTGATCAGATTGTGAGGCTCTAACTGTACTGCTGAATGAGTCCACTGAAGAGGTCAGCGTTGGTTGTATCAGCAGGAGAGGATACAAAGACAGCGAGGGACAGGAGTAGTCATGAGGCATAGCCTTGGGGAGGATCTGGATCCGGCCCTTTCCTCTTTAGCTCTTTCTCCTGTACTCTGCTTCCCACCTGCTATGAGGTGAGCAGCTCTGCTTCACCAGCCCTCCACCATGATGTCTGCCCCAGTCAGCCTACAGCCATGGAGCCAGCCGACCATGGACTGGAACCTCTTTGATCATGAGCCCAGGAGCCATTTCCTCCTCCTTTGTCAGGTTTTTGGTCACAGCAACCAGGAGCTGCTTCCTGCAGGGAGCCTGGGAAACTAGGACAGTGTCCTCTAACCATGGCCTTCTAAACAGAAGAAAGCGAGTGACATATGGAGGGTGCTGGGCACAATGAGGTTCCCTGAGAGTCCCCACTTTAACCCCTCTCAGCCTGTGACTCCTTCACTTTACATGGCAAGAGGGTTTTTGCTGAGTTGATTCAGCTAAGGATCTGTCCATGCAGCTAGGGCCAATGTCATCACCAAGATCATTCTGGGACAGTGGCATAAGGTCAGAGTCACGGGACCTATGATAGCAGAAGCAGGTGCTGGGTGGAATGGGGCCATGAAAAAAGAGATGAGGGCAGCCTAGAGGACTTGGAAGGGCTTGAAACAGGTGGTCTCAGAGCCTGCAGGAGGAACGGGAGAGAAAGAGAGACAGGGAGGGAGAGAGAGAAGGAGAGAGAGAGAGAGAGAGAGAGCAACAGAGAGGGAAAGAGAGAGAGAAAGAGAGATAAATAAAAATAAAAACATTAGATCAAGACTTATGAAAAAAAAAAAAAAAGACTGATGACATCAGGTTTATCCTCATAAGGCAACCAAAGCCATGACATCCAGACAAACACAGGGACAGGAAGAACAGATCTAAATCAGGGTGAGTGCAGTTCACACACAGCTCAAGTTCCTGTCCAGTGTGGAAACCCCAAAGCAGAAGAGAAAGCATGCAGCATAGACTAAGGCCATTCTGTGCCCTCCAGAGAGACTCTCAGCTCACTACACTGCTTACCGCTGGGCTGTGTGCTGGGATTTGTTTTGTTATTATTATTGTTTTCATTTTAAACTGATGGTCCTTTTCAGCTGCACCTTTTGAAAGAGCAGTTTCAGGTAAGGAGCAAACTGCAGAAGCATGAGCCCATGCATGTTCTCTGCCCGCACACTGACCGTTTCCTACATGGCCGACTCCTCCAGCTGGACCTAGGTGAACAGCGGCTTTCCCTGCAGCCCTGCACTGTCCTCCCCAGAGCTGCTTCACACCAGAATGCCCGGCCTGCAGCCTGCGTGTAGGACAAGTGCAAGGGCTGTGTACAGCATGAGAGGGTCGTCAGAGCAGTCCCATGGCTTCCATACCCTCCAGGCTCCTGTGACATCCTTCCAGTGAGAGTCCCTGATCTTTCTGATGTCCCCATTGTGCCTCCTCCCGGGATGTTCTGGAGTTGACTCACAAGATGCAGCCTTTCAGATTGATTGGCTTTCCTCACTTCATGATGGGACTCTAAGTTTTCTCCAAGTCTGCTCAGGACTTGAAAATTCATTTCCTTTTGCTCTGAACAGTGCTCTACTCTCTGGATGCACCTGGTGTCCCACAGCCCTGACTGAAGGTTTGCTGGCATGCTGTGACTGCTTCGGATGAAACTTTGTATGCAGAAACCAATGCGGATGTAACTCTATGGGTCTTTTTAGGAAATGTCAAGAGCTGGATTGATGGACCTTAGGGTGAGTGTTTGCTTACCGTTTTAGAGCCCATCAAACTCTTCCACAGAGGCTCGACCCTTCCCTTCCCCAGCACTGATGAGTTTCTGCTGCTCCACATCCTCTCCAAAACTGGGTTTGTCAGCATCTGGATTCCAGCCACTTTGGCAGAGGTGATTCTCACATGATGCATCCTGGTCGTTCACCTTCCATGTCCTGTTGACAGTGGGCAGGGCCCCTGTTCTCAGGTACTCACTTCCACCTGGAGGTCCGTTTTGCTTAAGGTCTGTGCCCCATTGTTTAATTGAGTTTATTTCCTTCATGTTCAGTTTGAGGCTTTGTTTTGAGCAATCATGCTTTGAAAGATGTGCATTATGAAAACATCCCGTCTCTGTGTCTGATCTCCCAGCTCTCTTGACCCTGAGTTCTAGAAAAAAGAAGTTTCTCATTTGATTGAGGCCCAGCTCATGGGTTCTGACTTTCCTGGGCCAGGCCTTTGAGGCTGCATCTAAGACATCTGGGCCATGCCTCAGCCCATCAAGGCCTCCTCCTGTTGCTTCCTAGGAGCTCAGGAGCTTTGCATGGCACGTTGGGCCAGTGCCCAATCCTGAGCTAGATGTGTGAAGGGAGTCAGGTCTAGGTCTGGATTCCCAGGACATACAGCTGTACCAGCCCAGTGTGTGGAGAGGCTGTTCCTCTCGTGGAATGGCCTCTGCTCCTCTGCACAGACCCATTGATCATGGTGTGTGGGTCACAGCTTTATTACTTCCTTCACCACCTGCCCACCTATCACTGCCCTTCTTCTTTCTGCATTAACTACGACTTCCAGTGTCATGGTGCACAGTGTAGATGGAGAGGACATTCCTGCCTTGTGCTTCTTCTTAGAGGGAAGCTTCTAAATCATCCGCAGTGAATGTGATGTGCCTGTGGGTTTCTGTAGATGTTCTTCATCAAAGCCATCTTTACCTCGGTCCCTCTTTATATTTTTGCTATGAGTTTTTGTCATGGAAGGTTTTGTACTTTCTCAGGCGCTCCTTCTCTGTCTATGCAATGACCATATGAGTTTCCTGCTTGTGTTGTTGATGTGATGGTTCATATTGATTTTCAAATCCTGAACCAGACTTTCACACCTGTGAGAAATGTCACCTGGTTTATATTCCTGTGCTGCTAGCAGGCCACAGGCACTGTGAAGTTGGCTGCTCTAGGCTCTAGTGTTTTCAGCATGGTGGAGGACCGTGAAGTCCTCTTGACCTCACCACTGCCTTAGCTCCTGACCAGACGTCAGCCTGGCCTCATGCTGTGCAGCAGGAGCTGACTTCTCCCTACTGTGAAATCCCAGATGTCTCTCATGCTGACCCAACACCATTTCATCTACACTGGGAATCTGCTCTGCAGTGCGGGAAACTGTTGTACCAGGTAAGGGCCCAGAGACTTGGCAAAGTGGACCACCATCACCCTAGAGTCACTATCCTGGGTCACTGTGAGTCAGAGAGGGTGGGTTTGGAGGAGAAAGGATCCAGCTCTCTGTCTCCAGTCCTTTCTCTCCTGTGCTTCCCTGATCTGAAGAGTTTTTACCAGTCCCCAGATTCCTACCCTGAAGCTGGAGCTCAGCTATCACCACACGGGTTCATGGGGGCTAGAAATGTGCACAGTCCGCATGGACACTTGCTCTGCAGGTCACAAACACCCAGATTCTAAAGAAAACACACACACACACACACACACACACACACATACACACACTCAGATTGAAGCTCCTGATTAGGAATTGTCCTGTATCATGAACTAACATTTGGTGTAAAGGTTAAATAGACATTTTATTAACATGATGTCACTTGTTCTTTTTACTTTCCTCATATGTCTACCTGAATTTTAAATACATACATGGCCAGTATCCCAGCTCTAGGGGGTTCCTCCCAGGTGTCCCCTCTGGGCTCTGCCTCCTGTGCCCATCTCTGGCCTGAACCACCTGACCTGGTGTAGTTCTTGGGAGATCTGTTGATTGACTGACTGATTCTGAGTCCTTACAGAGAACCCCTGTCCTTTTCCACGTAAAAGGGAGTCACTCCTGCTTGGCAGAGAAGTTCTTCAGGACAGGGCAGGGCCTGGGCTTCCCAGAACCTCTGGAATCCCCTTTCTCCTCCCAGGAGTCATGCCCTTGACCTCAAAGGCCCCTGACTTCAGAGCACCTGAGAAGCCAAGACTGCTCTGTCCCCTTTCCTGCAGAAGTAGTGTTCTACGTCACAGGATTTAGTTCCCACAGAGTTGTGGAGAACAGGGAGTCCGAGTCTGGGGGAGCTGAGGAAAGGGACAGTTCAGAGGGTCAGAGGAGCAGGAGTCAGGGAGGGCACTAGAGGAGAAGGAGGGAGGAAGGAGGAAAGTGGAAGGCCCCAGCCTGGAGCAGAGAGGGACAGAGTAGCCAGCGTTGGAGAAACCAGCAGATGGGAGGGGCCAACAGAAAAGGAGGGGCTGGGTTGGGAGGCTGGACAGGTGGGAGGGGAGGGACTGGGGCCTCAGAGGATAAAGTAGGGCAGCCCAGGGCAGCACTGTGGCCTCTGGATTGCTGCTCTCTGTATCCTATAGCTCCAACTTTGTGTCCTGCAGACATGGCCTCATTGCTGCGTGTCCCTCTGCTGCTCCTGGCTGCAGTGGTCTTGGACCTGGCCATGACCCCCATGGCATTGGAGTTCCATCAGAAGGGGCCTTACCTACCTGGGGGCCTGCAAGATGTGGACATTAACGATAAAGGTGTGCAGGAAGCAGTGGACTTTGCTCTCCGTGAGTACAACAATGACAGCAAAGACCTGAACCTCAGCCGCTTGGTGCAGGTGGTGCGTGCCCGTGAGCAGGTGCGTGGTCACCAGGGCTGAGGCGGGCTACCCAGGAAGTGCTGTCCTTCTGCACGCCCTGCGGCTCCCCTTCTGCTCCCTGCCCCTGTCCTCACCGGGGTTGTGTTGCCTACTCTGCGGCCCTGTCCAGGTTGAGCGAGCCCACCGGGGATGGCACCCCTGTGCCTCTCACCCAAGCCCCATCCCTGGTGTTGCTCTGTCCCTCAGTCACTGCAGGGGAATCCTGAGCTGGGTCCTGCTGGGCATAGCAGGTGACACCTCTCCTTAGATGCTGTTCCTATGCCAGCTGGCAGAGACACCAGGCGCCAGACAAGGGTTGGGGGTTCCTGGCTAACGCTGACCACCTCTTGGGCAAGGATCTGAGGGAACTGTGAATCAAGTGACCCCACAGCAGGAAGAGGAATCCTGCACTTGTTCCCTCCTCTCCCAACCTCCACCTGCTGTCCTTCAGCTGCTGCCTCTGTCACGACCTCAGGTCTGTAGAGTAGGCACAGCAGGAGCAGAGGGCGTCCTGGGTCCTGTGCCTGCCCTCCCCCGAGTGGTCACCCTTGGTCACAAGGCCCTGCTCCTTGCTCCCAATAAAGCGTGGGGCTCTGTATGGATTTGGGTGGATGCTTCCATAATATCGCACAGTGAACTTCTAAGGATACTAAACCAGTCCTGGGTATCTCCCCTGGGAGCCTTAAGGGTCCCTGTGGGCTGTGGGTCACCCCCTACTGCTGCACCAGTAAAGAGGACCCTGTGGGAGGGGAACCAGATTACTGAGGGAGCAGCTGGGCTTAGTCCTCAGGCTGCAGCTCTCCCGCACCCGCATCCAGTGCGTCCTGTTGGGCATAGAGCCTGCTGGGGTGGACCCGCCCTGCCTCCTGGACAGGAAGTGCTGGCTCAGTGCCTGGGCTGCTCCCCAAGCTGGCCTCCCTCCCAAGGCCCAGATCAGAGGGTGCAGCCCAGGCTCCTACCTGCCCGTTCCATTTCTGTCTTGCTCTGCTGCATAAGACTCCTCTTTGAAGTTCCTTGGAAGGGAACAGGTTGAACACAGGCAGATGTGGTGCAGAGTGGGCTGGGATGGGTTTGGCCTGAGTCCTGGCAAGCACAGTGAGTCCAGTGAAGCCAGTGACTGCAGCAGTGAGGTGGACGGAGCGCTGAGAGAGTCCTGCTCTTCTTCCCTAGGTGGTGGGCGGCATGAACTACTACTTGGACTTGGAGATCGGCAGAACCACATGTGCCAAGGACCAGCCCACCCAGGATGACTGTCCCTTCAGTGGGGAGCTGGTATGAGCTTGAAGTGGGCAGGGGCAGCACAAGTAGTATGTGTGTTTTTGTGTGTATGTGTGTGTGTGTGTGTGCATGTGTGTGTGCGTGTGTGTTTGGTTATGAGATGGTGTGTGTGGGTAGCCGAGCAGGGCTGTACACATGGTAGATTGGGGTCCTGAGTGGGACCCTGGGAAGTGGGGTGCTGGGAGGTGACCCCTGCTTTGGGGCTCTCCTGCTGGGCTGAAGGTGCAACAGCAAGCTGGTGAGGAGGGAGAGGGCTCTGGGAGTCCCAGCCTCGGCCCCGCCAGAGCCATCCTGAGCAGGTCAGGCCTGAGAGGACCAAAACCCCATGCTACCCTCAGCCTCAGCCTCTCCTGACTGCCAGATCCCTGGAGGCAGAGCTCCGGGCACTGAGTCCCTGTCACCCTGCCCACCCCACCTGTCCCCTGGTAGCCAGGCCTGTTTCCTCCCTGGGTGCCTTTCAGTGCTGCCCTGGGCTGGGGTAGAGGTGCTGAGGCAGTCATACCTGCCCGGCCTGTGCCCCCTGAGCTCCTGGCCTTGGCTGGCTGCCCCCTGCGGGCTGTGGGGAAGAAGGACCTGGGATCCCTGAGCTGGGGACAGCGCCATGCAGGGACTTCCCCTCCACCACTCCTGCCCTCTGATGTCCATGGCCGGCGTCCTCCCTCTCTCCTGAAGCGACACTCACCGTCCCTCTCTCTTCCTTTGGCAGACGCAGCTCTGCTCCTTCGTGGTCTATGACAGGGCTTGGGACGACTACATGGCCGTGATAAGTGCCACCTGTCACACTACCTAAGGTTCTGTTTTGGCCAGGACAAAATGACTACCCCTTACCTATGTCCCCTGCCTTGTCTCTAACCATGTGATGGAGCCTAGTCCTGATGTAGTCTCCTCAGTGCCCCGGCACCTGGGCTCCAGGACAGCGGCTACTCTGGGCAGCATGGACACCCACAAGCTGGACCCTCTTCCTTTCTCCTGTGCTTCTCAACCACACCTGTGGGGGACACACAGGCCGCCTCTGACTTGCTCAATAAAACCTGCACAGCTCCCTTGTGTGGTGTGTTCTTGGAGTGCAGGGGAAGGGTTAGGGGAGCTGTCCCCATAACTAGATGCTGTCTGACTGTCACACAGTCTTCCTGGGCACTGTCACATACCCAAGGTGGGGCGGAGTCAGTCACTGAGGCCCCTAACTCTATCACCATCCCACATTCCTGGGGGCCCACCCTCCTGTCCACTTTCTCCAGCCTTCTGCAAGGCCCTGGCTCTGCCCTGGGGACCAGACTTGGAGAAAGTGACCTGGTCAGCCAGGCTTGGTGCCCTCTCCACCCCAGCCTCAGGGGCCATATGAGCAGAGCCCCTGAAGCAGGTCTAGACTACGGCTCCTGTGACTCACGGTGGGGTTTTATTTGACTGCAGGCTGAGAGTCTTTTTTGCAGGCTGCTTGGGACCAGAATGCTCCAAGTCTCAGAGATCTGTGGGATTGTGGGAAACCTTCACACACATGATGATTTTACCGGGGAATGGACCCACTTCTGAGCAAGAAATGCACTCAGTTTTCACCGGCATTTTGTCCACGTAGCCTGAAGCTAATTGTTACAGTATTGTTTATTATAGAAATTGAGTTTTGTGGGGCTGGGGATTTAGCTCAGCAGCAAAAGCGCCTGCCTGGCAAGCGCAAGGTCATGAGTTCGGTTCCCGGTACCGGAGAAAAACCAAAAAAAAAAAAAAAAGAAAAGAAATTGAGTTTTGTTTGGAAGGCTTCAGGGAGGACAGGAAAGGATCCAGCTTAGGTGACTGGAGGGATCACCCTGACACAGGGGTTCAGACCGGTGACACAGGTGAGAGGCCACTGTTAAGGACTGGCTGGTGGGCAGGGGTCCAGGTGGTCAGTGTCTCATCATGTGTCATAGTTCTGAGATCTTGATGTCTGAGGGATGGTTTCCTTTCCAGAAGAGGACTCTGTGTCTGTGTCAGTCTCAATCAGTGGGGCTCCCCCTTCACTGGAATCCAGATGATCACAGGTTCAGGACAAAATGCGAATCACGTATAACTAGAGGATTGGGAAAAAGTACACTGCTTGGAAAATAGCTGGTGAGTCTCCAATACTGTAAACACTGTGTTTCCATGGGACACATAAATGCTTCCCACCCTAAGTGAACAAAAACATTCTTCCACCAAAAATGTCTACATGAATGTCCATATCAGTAGGATTCAAAACAAGAAAACAAAGAAGAGAAACCACCTAAATATCCATCCATCCATGATTAAATAAAGAATACAAGGCGATATTATTTGTCAGTTCTTTAAGATGGACACATTGATACTGGCATAATTTGAAAGAATCTCAAAAGTATGCCATAGGAAAAAATCAAAAGCAGAACATTTCAGTCTCTCCTCTCATTCACTTGAAGCATCCAGGAAGGCAAACTTAAGGCCGAGTGGTGAGTTATTTTTTTACCAGGTAGGGCAGTGGGGTGGGGAATGATTGCTGAGGAGGTGGTTCCCTTGGGCCATGAAAATGGCCTAAAATGATATTGTGGAGACACGTGCATGATATTGTGAATATGCTAAGAACTCTTGCATTGTTAATTTTGAATCGGAGCTTTGTGCGACATGGATGATTTTTCTCCAAAAATCTGTTTAAAAATCATCACTGAAGTTACAGTTTTCACTAGGGAAATGCTTACCTCCTCTTTTCTTCTCCATCCCTAATAATTTCCACTCATGTTTTCCAAAATGTTTCAAAAAATTATATAACAGCCACTTACTCTAATTACCAACAGTTGTATAATTGCCCCAGATTTGATCAGAAATTTACCACCCACCCAGCCACTGCTATCTTTTTCTCAGGAATACCTGAAGTGCATGAGAAACTTCCATTGCAATCTGAAGTCCTGAGGAATCTAAATCCAGAGAAATTGTGTTCCCAAGTAAAATTCTCAAAGTTTGCAAACTGTTCTCCCCCAATTCCCACTCTTGGTAGACTCTGCGCAAGTGACTGTATGACACTGCTGAGCAGTGCATGGTGTTTGCAGTCATGGCCTTGCGTTATTAGGGAAATATTGATCGCATTCAGTACCCGTTAGTTAAGCAGTCAAATAAGGGTATTATATATATAAGAAAAATTCTCATTTAGTAGCCTGAAGCGCAGGTTTTAAAAGCGAGTTCGTATCATCCAGAACACTTAGGTCCCTGTTGAGGCTGAATATAATTTTTCATGCTTCAAATACATCTTAAATAAGAAAGAGCTGAACTGGTGACATCTGGTCCCCATTGTCTCAGTTTGACATGGTGTGAGTGAGCATCCTGGAGGACTGTCTTGGTGATGTTGACCGGATCTGGGCACAAAAGGACAACTGGGGAGCTCATGCAGGAAAGAAATGGTACTCTGAGAGAATCAGCGATGAACTGAGGCCATGTTCCAGATCTCCTAGAGGTCATACATGGTCATGTACCAGATCTCCTGAGGTCATACGTGTCCTTGTTTCAGATCTCCTATAAGACATATGTGGCCATGTCCCATATCTCCTGGAAGACATACATGATCATGTCCCAAATCTGGAGATCACATGTGATCATGTCCCCAGATCTTTGGGAAGACATACATGATCATGTCCCAGATCTCATGGAGGTCATATGTGGCCATATTCTAAATCTCCTGGAGGACAGATGTGTCTGTTTCTCCAGATCTCCTGAAGGTCATACATGATCATGTCTCAGATGTCCTGGACATCATATGTGGCCACATCCCAGATTTCATGGAGGTCATATGTAGCCATGTACCCAGGTCTCCTAGGACACCTCTGACTCTGACTCTCCCAGGCTCTGCCTCCCATAGTTGTTCCTAAAGCACTTCTGGTACTACCCTTGGGCTACCCCACCCCAGAGCTCAGAGAGCCACACCTATCCAGGTATTCATGCCCCTTTGTGGCCAGTATCCTTTGTGTGATGGCTCAGAGATCAGAAAGGCCTTCCCTGGGGGGACAGACTCTGAGTTTAGCTGATAATGCAAAACTGCCACCAGGCTCACCCGTTCTGCCCCTCAGCATCTCTGCTGGGTTCTCCAGGGCTCCTCCACAACTGGCCACTTACAAACAGATGTCCTCTTAGCTTCTGCTCCTACGAGGCAGACTGCACATAGGAAGGAGGTGGGCAACTGAAAGGTGGAGTCAAAGACACATTTGTACTTCAAAGTCAGAGTCACATTTCCTGCTGGGTTTCAAGAAATTTATGCTTCCTAAAGATAAACTACAAGTCTGGTGTTCTGCCTCTTTCCAGAAAGCAGGGAACAGTTCAGAGGAGGCATCTGGAAGAGGTTGCAGGGCCCAGTCTGCGCCCAGCAAGTGCGGAGTCCCAGAGCTTCTGTGCGGCAGAAGTGGCTCCATATGGGCACAAGGCAGCTGCTCAGGCCCTGAACTCGAGGCCCAGGAATCTGGGGGTATAAAGGCTTTTGCACTGCTGATTTTCAATTTGAAAATTCTAGTATTTCCAAACAGTTATGATCTTAAATGTATGTGTATCTGTGTATGTACTTACATGTCATCTACATTTGGGGACATGTAGGAATAGATGATGAATATCATATGAAGACATTTTTAAAATCTTCCAGTACTAATGATATGTTAATGAGTATAATAGGATCAAATGTTTGAAAAATTTAAAAATTGCTTAGTTGTATAATATGGTGTCGTACAGAAATTTGAGATTGTGTTTTGCATTATTTTGATACTTACTTTCAAAGACTTTTATAGCAAAAAGGAATCCTCACAAATGTGAAATGTATCTCATGAAACATCCTTATTTATTTTTTCAGGCCAATAACCAATTCTTCAAAAATGCTTATTTTGTTGTAAATTTTCATCTTCCTCATTGTTTTTATTTATTTATTTTTATTTATTTATTTATTTTTTTGGTGCCAGTAATCAAACTTAGGAACTTGCGCTTGCCAGGTAGGCGCTCGTGCCGCTGAGCTATATCTCCAGCCTCATTGTTTTTAATGAATGACTTTGTAGCTCACATAATCTTGCATTAGGAAGATGATTTTAAAAATCTGAATAGCCACATCTCCATCCTCCTCACAATAAAATCGCATAACAATAAAAATATTTTCAATGATGACTGTGAGTTCTTTGAAAAACTGCTTCTTCCTCCATGCTTGTTAAAGCATTGCTCATCTTGAAGGTATGGGTCCAAGGTGTTCACTCTCCAGGGGGCATACTGCCAAGAGCCAGCCTTCCACCCAGCAGACAGCACTTTTCTTCTTGATAACCAAAACTCGAACACTGTCCCCAGTGCTGCAAGGGTAGACCAGAACTCCCCGAAGGACCTGCCATAACCTCAGTTCCTACAATTTCTGTCCCTCCTCTATCTTCTCAAACTGGAAATTGAAGGGTTGAATGCACAAGAGATGGTGGTTTTGAGTTGCATCAGGCTGGACATTTATGGTGCAGTGACTACAAGTATGGGAAAATCATCCTAGCTTTTGAGTTTTGATCAAGCAAAGGGAAAAGGATCCAACAAAGCATTTGTGAAGGTGGAAATTAGAGAGAAGTCAAGCAATTTCCCCTTGGGGACCCAAGCCATCCACCCTGTGAACTAGTCTGTTCTTCACTCCAAACAACCCCAGATCAAAAATATTTTAAAAATTGTATCAGTACTGAATATATATGAACGTTTTTCTTCTTATTGTCTAAGTAATACATTATAACAACTATTTGTATAGCATTGTTTTGGGCACTGTAAGTCATCTAAAGATGATTCAAAGTATACAAGAGGAGGTGCCTATTAGATAACTATTAAATGGCTATTAGATGACACACCATGCTATTTCACAAAAGGCACTGGAGCATCCCAGACTTTGGTATCCATGGATCCTGAAACTAATCCCTGTGGAAACCATGGGACAAATGTCCCACTTGTGAGTATAAGTTTTGTTGCACATGAGTTCATGTCAAGGGATTCAGAATTTCATCTTTCTCCCTCCAAACTTAGCATCTGTCCGAACACCCTGGTGGTTTGGACCCTGTGGTCTGAGCACTGAGCTCAGAGA